TTGGTGTATTTCTCCAATTACTTGGATCTTTAATTTCTCCCAGAAATGTTTTTGTAGGTTTCAGTATAAAGATCTTACACTTTTTTGGTTAAATTTATTCCTAGTTAATTTTTAGATGATATTGTAAATGGAGCTGTATTCTTAATTCCATGTTTGAATTGTTTACTGAGAATACATAGATTTGGTATTCTATAGTCTTGCTAAACATGCCTATTTTTTTTTTTTTTTGATTCCTTATTGTTTCCTACATATAGTTTATGTGATCTGAGAGTTTTACTTCATCTCCAGTCTGTATGCCTTTAATCCCTTTTCTGGCCTCCTATCAGTAGAATATCTGATACAATGTTGAACAGAAGTAGTGAGAGCCACATACCTTTCAAAATTAAAAATTCAGAACTCTGAGACACTTTTAGTCCTATGTGTTTGGGTAAGGGGTGCAAACTTGTAGTAACTAACTTTTAGGATTGCTGGGAGGATTAAACAAGATGCCACACACAAAATGCTTAGTGGAAATCCTGGCACAGACAAGTGACCTTCTAAGAGACAGCTTTTAGAAAGAGAACCAAGTGGCTGCTGGTGGACAGCATCAGGGACCAGGGCTCTGCTGTTAGGATGTGGGCCTGGCGGACACATTGTCTGGGTGGCTGTCTGTGGCCCCACGGCAGGGGGATGGAGTGCTCCGTGGCTGTCCCCACTGGGAGTCGGCACATGTTTGGTCAGCTGCCAGCAACTGCTGGTGTCAGGGGAGCTCTGCCAAAGTACTGATACCTGAGCCCCAAAGTAGCCAAGCCCAGGATTCAGTGGACGACATTGTGAAACAGGGCGGATGCGGTGGGGGGGAAGGACCCAGACCTGCGGGGCGGTTGCTGGGCAGTAGTGTTAAGAGGGGCTTGGGGCATACGCTGTGTTTACATCAAGAGAAAACACTTCATTATTTCCATGTGCGTTGTTGCTGCCTTTCTCTAAGGTTTATTCTATAAGTAGATCCCCTGTATTTGCTGAGACTTGATATCTATTTGGGGCTTCCCAGGGCGCGCTAGTGGTAAAGAACCTGCTTGCCAGTGCAGGAGACATAAGAGATGTGGATTCCATCCCTGGGTCGGGAAGATTCTCCTGGAGAAGGGAATGGCAACCCACTCCAGTACTCTCGCCCGGAGAACCCCATGGACAGAGAAGTTCGAGGGGGCTACAGTCCATAGGGTCACTCAGAGCGACTTAGCATGCATGCACACGATGTTTATTGGAGGCAGAAATCGCAGCTGAGATGAGTACCATGAGGGAACAGACGCATGAGGGCATCATGCAGCGCCTGCAGCCTCGCTGGGTTGAGCGTTTCTCTCCGAGACAAGCTGAGCGGCTGTGTGTGTAGGAGTCATCCCGAATCCCCATTTCCTCCAGGGGACGGCGGGCATCCTGGAGGCCTGCGGAGACCCTGGTCTGCAGTGGGTGATGAGCTCCTCACCAGAAACTAGGCTCACAGAAGCCAGGGCTACTTCCATGGTGCCAATAATCATTAATTACAGCTCCTGACACCTGTCCTCATTAATTACTTTGAAAGGAATCTCAGGGACCTACAGTGTAACTGTGATAATGGACCAGCATCCTTCATACCTAGCAGATGATAACCAAGAAAGTTGGTGCAGGAGTCGGGGAGGTTTCCTTTGTTCTCAGTAATAAACAGAATTTAACTTCCAACCTTTATTTAACAGTACAGTGCTTCAATGACAAATCCTGGGACTTAATTATGATCATCTCCGGGACACACAGACTGGGTTTACATAGAAAAGGCCCAACAGGGGAGGGTCAGTACTTCCATGAGACACACACTCAGACGTCAGAAAGCCCCACGAAGGTGCTTCTTCATACACCGCACATGTGCCCAAACGTGATGACACACGAAGGCATCCTTTCATGGCCGAGGATGAGCGGTGGGCTTAGAGGTGTCTTCATCATGGCAGCAGATGGTTCTCAGAGGCACAAACCTTGTGCTGACTGATCGAATCTAGAGGGAGAGAAGTGGTTAGCACTGATAATGGCCCGCATATGACAAGACAAACATCTTATCACAGCAGTAGTGTTAGTCGCTCAGTTGTGGCCAACTGTCTGCGACCCACCCCATGGACTGTAGCCCGCCAGGCTCCTCTGTCCACGGTCTTCTCCAGACAAGGATACTGGAGTGGGTGGCCATTTCCTCTTCCAACCTTATCATAGATACACAAAACGTATTTAAAATCTTCAGTGGTCCTGGGCTTCATGGTCCACATGTGCCTATTTAAAGTGAAGCAGAATAAGATAAAGTGAAATGAAGAGCTCAGCTCCTCAGCTGCACCAGCCACATTTCAAACGCTCAGAATCCACATATCTTCTTGGATGCAGCACACTTGGACATGCCCTTCATGGTGGAATGTTCCAGTGGACAGTCCATGACATGGGAGACGCAAATTCTCATCGTGCTACGGCAAGTACGCCCTGGTACAGGGCAGAGCATAACTAACTGTTTTTTGAGAACCACAGGACCTGCCCTGGCCCAGGACCAGCCCCGGCTGCAGGAGGGGGGCTGGCACAGGTGGGCCTGCAGCTGGCTCCAGCAGCCTGGTGCTCTCAACACCGGACAGCTGACTGCCCCCAGCCCTCCTGCTGCTGTTAGGGTGAGAGACG